GAGCAGAATTTTTCTTAATTGTTCATGTGGACGTATTAGGGTCATTATTTTTGTTAATACCTTTAATCGTAAAATGGCTTTTTAACATAAAATATAAACTTTGGTGATAATGAAAAATATTTAAATTCATATGTACATTCAAACATATTCAAAAATACAAATCAGGAGCAGAATGGGATCAGGTGCCATGGAAGAATTTGCATCAACTGCCGAATGGTCCAAACCGCCGTGTGCTCCTTAACATGTTCAATTAAAAGGGAAAAAATCATAGACAATCAGTATTTAAAAAGAAAATACCTAACAATTATTGCAATTTTAGAAAAAAATCTTGTTTAATTAATTTATTTTTTCAAAAACCTGCTTTGGTTTAGAAAATGTTCAGACATAAAGTATTCCTGAATCAGCTGAGAGAAATAAACTTCATGCGACACATACAACTGTATATTGCTTCATAACTAAGGGAAATTCAAAGAAAAGTTGAGATAATTACATTTCTCATCAGGATTTGTTTTATTACAATTAACGCCTTTTCAAAGTGATTTTTTAAACATGCGTCATACACTGTGGTATCTTCTCTTTCAGCTTCATTTGAGTTCACGAGTCAATATAGAAAAGGGAGTTAATAAAAGAATCAAGATAACGAGCGTTGATTATCTGAAAAAATACAAAAATACAAAATTGTTAAGAGGGCAGTAACATGGACCCGGAAAGTCCAGAGGTTGAGGGGGAGTTCGTATCGCCTCAAGACCCGTCACATCCGCCATGAGGCTATTATATTGAAATAGAAAATATGTCTCGAATGTTGAACTAAGAAAAAAAATATAAGAGAGCCCTTCACATCGTCTTTTAACCAGGAAAAAGCCACTCAATGAGTTATAATTATATGGTGATGAATTTATGAACCCAACCCTACTTCATACCATTGTTTGTTATTGTATTGTACCCACCCTTTTAGATGGTAGGAAGCATTTAAATGGAATTTTTGCATATTACATTGTGTTCACGAGGGATCAAATTATGATACGTTTATACTGTATCTTGTCAGAGTGTCCAAAATTGGAATTTTATTCTAGTCTTGTTGGACCTCTTCCCCTTTCTTCTGTTATAACAGTCATTCTGGTACGGGACAGTGCCGTTTTCATGAAGGGATCAGACTGTGCATTATTGGGTCTAAAATATCTAATATTCGTCATTTTAGTTCAACTTTTTGAACCCAATCCTTGCATTTTTATCCATGGTTGTACACATTCTCGTCATTTACTTCAATGGATTACATTTTCACTACATTGTGTTTTTTTTCTGCTTTAAACAGTTAACAAACTCAGACGTACGCGTCTTATTGGCAGGAGAACATACAAACAAACAGTATTATAAAGAAATATTATATCTTGTTACACGTAACATGGACAATATTCAAACTCTTACCTGACATCACGGAATTAAAACAAAAAAAATAATCAAACAAAAATAACCTACAGCATATAATAAAGAAGATTTTGTTTTTCATTCTTATAAAATTATTACGTTTTAAAGAAAATAGTAAGATTGTGACTGATGTTTATTTATCAATCTTTATATTTTATTCATTAATTCATCTGTCTTTTTTAATTCACCTGTCAGCCAACTTTTTTCATCAGTTCATTTGATTTTTAAATATACCAGCCAAGAGTCAATATTCCTGAAGATTTTTTTTTAGATTATGTGTGGGCTGAGTCATGTTTATTTATTTTGATAAATTGTATCAAAAGATTTACAGACTCATAAATACTTAAGAATATTTTTCCGCCTGAATTCTTAAAGGCTGTCTCATTTTATACAGTTCGTAATGGTTCTCAGGGAAGGTAACTGTGTTTTTTATCCATTGATTTTTGATAAATTTTTGTCTCTTATCAATGTTTTAAAAATTCTTCCTTGATTTTTAACTTCCTTGTTATTTTCTCGATGTTTTTTTTTATTATACTACATATAAGCATACATTTGAACAAAATCTTAGTATTATAAGGGTACTGAGACTAATCCACTTTCAATAGATAGTAATAATCCCTCGCTTCTTATCATGATCACTTCCTGTCACCTGTCAGCTTACCTTGTTCATCGGTTCATTTAATTTCTTTTTTTAAAATTACCAAAGTGCAATATTCATGAGGAAAGATCTTTTAAAAAATAAAGTATGGGCTGAGTAAAGTTTTTATTTATTTTGATAAATTGTATTTATCAACAGATTTATAGACCCATGATTTTTTTTTACACCTGAGAATATTTCCCCGCCTGAATTCTTAACGGCTGTCTCATTTTATGCATGTCATAAGGGTTCTCAAGGAAGGTATTTGTGCTTTTCTATCGATATTTGAGAAATTTTTGTCTCTTATCAATAAATCTAAAAATTTCTTCCTTGATCTTTAATTTCCTTGTTCGTTTCCTGTTTTTTTAATCACACTAAGGAAGACATTTTAACAAAATCTTACTATTGCATGGGTACTAAGACTAATCCAGTTTAAACAGTTAATCCTAATTCCTCGCTTCTTATCCTGATCACTTCCCTGATTTTTCCGGATTGTTACTTGTTACCTATTGTATTAGAATGCGAAATATGTGAGCTAAGTAATCCGACGCGAAGTGAAGATAATAAGAAGGGGTAAGACTGTTGAAAACTTGTTTTCATTCAAATCGAAAGTAATATACAATATTCAAGAGGGAAAGTATTATAAATTGTCATACTTTCGGTTTAATTAATTTGTGCCTCATACATGTAGATTTTTATTTTGTTTGAATAATTATATGTATGTTAGTTGGAAAGCTACTTTTTTCCTTTCACTTTTTAACACAATGTAGATATAAATTGTATATTTAGATATATTTCAAAGAAAACTGTTTGATGATCATGTTCTATTTTTATATAAAGGCTGGAGCTAAGGTTTTAAGTATCTATTATCTTTCTTGCGTGAAAATGAGATGCCTATTGATAAAAAATTAAATAGAAAGAAACTTGTTCTGAAATTTTGAAATAGGTAAAGGGGGCAAGAAATTATGGATTTAATTTTTATTTTTGCATTATGTCACCTACATTGTAGCAATCCCATTTCTTTTCTTTTTGCAGAATATGAGTCAGACATTTTCAGTATTGATTATCATTTGTGGGATTTTTATATATATCGTGTCACGCATGCGGAGCAAAGTACTTTTAGAAAACGAAGTACCACTTAACAAGACCTACGATTTCATTATAGGTCAGTATGAAGTGCTCATTATTTATTAATCTCTTGTGATATATATATTATCATCACAGTATTTCAGATAAAGCAAGTTCCCTAATCTCTCATATCCGAGGATCTATTTAATTTAAATAAACATTGTTATAAATGATGATATGACACATGTATGACTACACAAGTCATCTTAATTTATGAATCAATAATTACATAAATTTTATGAAAATGACAAGATATTGTGCAAATTCTTGATTGATTTAAAGGATCTATTTTCTATCATGCGTTAACAAATATTAGAAATAATTACAAATAATTAAATTGTAGTAAAGGAAAAATATATAATATCAAAAATGATATTTTGATTAAGGAATATTGTCTTTAATTTTGATTAGAAATCTGTTTCTTATTTTCTCTGTCTTTTTTATTCTAAATTTGATGCAGTGGGAGCAGGCTCTGCTGGGTGTGTTCTTGCTAACAGACTATCGGCGGATCCAAGATTCTCAGTCCTTCTGATAGAAGCTGGCGGATCCGAGGAGAACAATGAAGTGGTGCGTGTACCTTTTGCGGCCATAGACCTGCAAAACACCGAGGTCGACTGGGCATTCAGAACCACCCCACAGACTAAAGCTTGCCTAGGGATGAGGGACAAGGTTTGGTTATCAGGTCAAATAAACACCCCTAAATTTATGATATCATTTTTATTTTGTTTCTTTTTGGCTGGCTCCTGATATAACGTCTTAAAATGTTTTTTCAAGTATATTATTACTTTTTACACACATAGCTTAATTACAAATCAAATCAAAATATGGGGTCAATATGCTTTCTTTAGCGCTACAGTACATTAAATACGATCTTTTTGCACTGGAAACTGTGCCTCAATCAAAAATTACATCTACAACGTTTTCCCTCCAATATTTTTATCCAAATAAAGCATGGAACAATATAAAATATAAAAAGACACTTTAAAATTGTGACTAAGAAGAAGTGTCTTTTTGCTTTGCATAATCAATTATTTGACCTTTTTGCACTCACAAAATGTGATTTTTCTGGCATTGAAATTTTATAAGCAAGAAAATTATTTTATAAAGTCTTATACTTTTGCAGAAATTAAGCAGATAGGTCAAAGTTATCTTAAATCTTCAGAAAAGAACATCAAAATGGGGGTATATTATGTAAAATTTTAGATATTACTAAGATTGTGTCAATTCTATGCTAAAATTGGCTCATTTTTTTTTCTCTTTTCTGTACTTTCAGAATATATTTACTATATTTGTCATAATTCGTCGAAAGAATTCATAAAAAATAATTTGAAAGATATTTCAGCACAAGCATAGCACATTTCACTGCAAAAATCAGCTTTGTTTGCAACCAGCATGGAAAAGTAGGAATCTAAAATTAACTGTACTGTATATAGTTCAAAAGGGACAAATTAATAATTTTCTTCTAAAAGACACTCCGACACAAAACATAGTTCCTGGCTTAATCCTACTTAAATGGAATTTAATTGTGGTTTTTGTAATGGATATAGTTTTTAACTTAAGAATGATGCAGTTTTTTAGAATAAAGGTCCAGACCAAAATCGACTCAAAAGCACAGGATGGAACGTACTTAAATGATTAACGTATCAAAATTATAGAATTTTTTTTTGATACATGCTGAAATACAATATTGACATTTTTGCAACTATCTGTTTTAGTTATGAACAATTTATCTACAATAATTGCAGCCATAACTAAACAAGGAAACACTTTTTTGTTTATATTTATGTCTGTTAAAATAAAAGTCTAAAGTTTATTAAAGCACGTAAAAATTATAATTATATTTAATATTGATAATAAATATGGGTTGTCTTATTAATAGAAGAGTTCATTCATGACAAAAATGTCTTGAGCAGTGTTCATTCATGGAAAAACTTTCTGAGGGTGGTCTTAAAAACAGCAATTATAAGGAATATTTATTGATTGCCGAAGGAAAATGGTTTTATATGAATAAGAAATTAAGAAGAAAATGAGTCAATACAAGTAAATATATGGCAGTGTACAGTATATCATATTCATAAGGAATCTATACAAATAAACACATGTTCAGTACACCATGTTTATAACAAGTCAATAAAAATTAATACATGTACAGTACACCATGTTTATAAATGAGAAAAGGGAAAATAAAGATTAATAGTCCTATTTCACTTGCGAAATTTATAACACCATTTGCCTTCGTTTTAGAGGTGTGCTTGGCCGAGAGGACGTGTCCTCGGTGGATCAAGTTCCATTCACAACATGAATAACGTTCGCGGGAGTCGCCATGACTACGATGGCTGGGCTAAAGATGGCTGCCTAGGATGGGGTTATAAAGACGTTCTTCCGTATTTTATTAAATCTGAGGATATTCAAATACAAGATTTACAAAACTCAGGTAAAAGTTATTTTTAGATTCCATTTTTGAAACTTCGACAGAAATAGCCTGACATTACTTGTCAATACATTACAGTTACATTACACATGTTACAATGCAAGACTTTTTTTAAATGAAATCTTAATCAAAATATTAGAGATTTTTTGCCTGTAATTGAATATGAAACGTTAATTTTTTAATTATTTAGCCTACCATGGAATAGGGGGTCCCCTTCCTGTAAGTGATGGCACGGCCACGCCTCTAAGTAACGTATATAGACAGGCAATGGAAGAGTTAGGATATTCTGTGACCGACTGCAATGGAAAAACGCAAACAGGTTCAAAAAAATTCTTTTGACAATGATAATTTAAAATGTTTGCCATATGCTTTGATGACAGCTATGTGCAGGCGAGAACAATTCCATTGTATAAAAGTTACTTTTTCTTTCAAGAAACGAGAGACTCCCCATATATATTTAACAAATAGTTGTCATTCACAACTTCTACAAAGGCATACAAAAATATACAAATAAACCGTGCTTATTATATAGCTTTTTAAACCAATAAGATTCAACATTAAATCTGTGAATATTCGTGAAACTTTTATATTTTAATAATTTCTATATCTCAAAATTAAAGGATTTTGCCCAACACAAGAAAATGTTAAGGACGGAGAGAGATGGGGTTCTGCTAAAGCATTTCTTCGTCCTGCTATGAATCGTCCAAATCTTCATGTTGTTACAAAAGCTTTCGTAACCAAGGTAGCTTTTCTCATATTTTGAATATGAAAATTTCCATATTTTCCATCGTAGAAACATTTTATCCTTTTTATATTAACACACTTAAAAATTGTTTAAATCTTATATGCTCTCGCTACGTACTGATATACCAGGCAACAATGGGATCTCTACATTTCGATGCTATTCCGACAATAATATCCTAGCTTTAACCTTTTCTTTAATTTCTACTTTGATGATCCTCTCCTTTGTCCCTATTTCATTACAATATTGGTAATTTGTGTCTAATTAACAGTATAAATGTGTCCAAAGTACCTAAAGTATAGCTTTTATGTGTGCATGGATATCCTTTATCCCTGTTCTTTCAGCCATCTCCTTTCTACCTATGGGATCTGATTAATATCATTTTTAAGTTTCTTCGTATATACTTACTAAGACCTTTTCCTATATCCTTTGTATATACCCAACCTCAATGACCTCGTAATAGCTATTAGTAAATTGTTTATGCTAATTATATTCTAGTTTCCTTTATCGTGATTCCTGACATAAATATGATTCTTTTATGGCGATGTTAATATCTAAACCCCGACTCATCTTATCTTTTTCTTTTAACTGTTCGTTATCTCCATATGTTTCATGTTATACTACATTTACATGAAAGTTTATAATTTGTGCGTACTACCACGTTCTGCCCTTTGACGGGCATCTTTTAGATATTCAGTAAAACATACTAAATATATTAATGCCAAAAAGCAAACAGGAGAAGTTCTTTAAATATTATATATGTTGGAATAATTTAATTTGACCATAGTAGATTTTATTTATTTCAATGATATATTAATGTACATATGATTACCGTAAATCTAGAAATTTTTACTGTAGATAAATTTTTAGCAAATTTGCGCGTACATTGCATTCGCAAAAATATTTTTCTTAAAAATAAATCAACATTTGAAGAATTTCGTGTCATTTTTTTAACTCAGTGAATGTCGGTAAGCACTGGTCATTTTTAAAAGAAACCTGTTTACACTAGTCTACTATATAACTACAATTTAATTACCCGTGCGTGTAAATTGTCCTCATTATATGCAATATCGTCCGATGATTTGACAAGCACTGAGGCGGTACGCCCCTTTTAAAAATTATTTTCATCCATTTATTTGCCAATAAAGAGAGAACTGTCATTTTATCTATCCGTGTATCAACACGGCGATAACTCAAAATCAGTGCATTTACTAGAAAGTTCCAAATGTAAACGCGTCGTGTAAATGAGAAAAAAACCAAATTTGAAAATTAGTTATACCGGTATTTTTCTTCATTTGGATTATACTTCAGGTTGAAAGGCATACACAACCTCTAAAATGTTTGTTATAATTGATTAAGAAATTATTTTCCGTGCAAATCCTTTTGTATTTTTATCAAAATTGTTACGTTGTATCTTGCCACGTTGCGAGTATATTGGTGGTATTCTAACTAGGCATATTATTTGAAACATAACCTGATATGAAAATCTTTAGTGATTTTTATTTTTAATACCAGTGACAATTCGCAAAAATTTGAAGCGTAAAAAATAATCAACAGCTTTTTGACCCAAATTCGCAAAAATAAATCGACGTAAAAATTTCCAGATTTACGGTATATTAAAACTAATTATTCTATTAAGTAGATGAATCCTGTGGATTCATTTATATGAAGGATATGAGATAACGAAAAGTATTCAATCTCAAAGTCCATGAAAATTTTATAGAAATAACAGCATTGTATCTCTATTTTTTTGTTTCTTATCTAGATTCTGATAAATGATAAATTAGCATCAGGTGTTACCTTTGTAAAAGACAATATAAAACAAACGATTCTGGCGGGAAAAGAGGTGATTGTGTCAGCAGGTACCATAAACAGTCCCAAGCTTCTGATGCTGTCTGGTGTCGGACCAAAACATCATCTAGAAAAATTACGGGTAAATAAAAGTTACCGTCCTTTACCAGGTTAATTTAGAAAAATCAAATAGATGATACTATTTAATTGAAACTCATGATTATTCAATAAAAATATAAATACCGCTTGAGTAGGTTCAAAATTGTAAAGTATGAGCTTTCCTCTATCTATTGTTACGCAATACATTAAACTTATGAAATTAATGATAAATATTCATAGCGTTATTTCAATATTGGCAATGTAACCTTAGGCCAGGTTTCGTTTAATATATTTTCATGTAGTATTTCAAAATTAAGGCTGAAACCATATGTGTCCATAAGCTCGAAAACCATAAGCTCGAAGATGGCAGTTGTAAGATTCTCAAAATATTTACAGTGCAAGATTTTACAAACATTTCATTTCTTAGCGTTTTATCATATTCCATCAGATTCCAGTAACAGCAGATTTGCCTGTCGGAGAAAACCTACAAGATCATATCATGACTACCATGTTTTATAATGACAACACAAACAGTGGAGGAAGCACGTCACCCTCAATAGCTACTATACTGAAATATCTTACTTTTAGATCAGGTTCGAAAAAGTTTTCCAAATAATCTATCTTTTATTTTGAATTGTTTTTGCAATATATATGAAAAATGGGGGCTTCGAATGTTTTTTGCATAACTTCGTTTCTCATATTTACATTTAATGTTAACCTTACCCGATATAATGCTTTAAAAAAAAGAAACTTATTTGTTAGTAACACACAGTCTGAGGCAAATAATTCATATTAATTTAAAATCCCCACCTGTAGGTGCATTGAGCAAGCCCCATGGAGAGGCAAGTGTGTTTCTAACTGATGACGTAAACCATCCTCCCTCCACGCAGTTCTCTTTTTACAGTGTCAACGTTCACCCAACATACGCCGACCAGTATGTACAGTTCCTCAACATTGACCCAAAGGTACCTCACTAAAAGGAAAAGATATACATATATACATGTATACACAGAACCTAAACTTAGAGTATTTAGATTCTCAGTTTTAATGTTTAGTTATAACAGTTGTATTTTTATGAAATATTGTTTGCATTGCTTACGTATTTTTCGGATAAGGAACTTGAAAAGAGGCTTCATCTTCCGTTGCTGATAATTGATAATGAACATGCATAAACAAATTATTCAGAAGTCATATTATTAATAATTTCGAGTTTAAAAGAGTACGCATATATGATTAGCTTTCGAGTGTCAACGACCTGCAAATTCATTGCATATAGCTTTTTGCCAAAGTTTTATGTTACTTTTTTGAGAACAAGGAAGGCATTCGCAAGAAATTTGAAAATAACCTCAACAAAGGTATTGGGACATTTTTCGCAGAAAATATACTTCTTCATCCTAAAAGTAGAGGAACCATACGACTTCAGAGTACTGACCCTTTTGATGCACCACTCATAGACCCAAACTACTTAGATCACCCGGATGATATGAAGACCTTACTGAAAGGTTAGTAAAACATTTTGTTGTGACTTCCAAGATTATGATAAATGCTCTCAGATGAAATGACTTTACTTATTTATGTTCTGATATTCAGGTATCTTTTGTTTAATGTTTACGTCTCACAACCTATTTGATACTTAGTTAAGAACATGCTATCAGTACAGTAAATGTTATAAAACAAAGGAAGACTATTGACAAATTATTTGATTTTACAAGAATTTCTACATCGTTTAAGACAGCGTTTCATAAGTTCCATGGTTACAAAGAGCTTAATCAAACGTTTAATGGGGTTTGATAAACTTTTTTTATTTAGATAGTATTTCCTTTTCTGTAGGAATAGACCTCTACATGAAGGTAGCAAACACTACAGCATTTAGATCTATCGGTGCCTCGCCCATGGATCCTTACGAGGAATATCTTCCTCCCTGTAATACACTTCCTTTTCCGTCTGAGGAATACTGGGTGTGTAGAATCAAGTATTATACCTATACGGTGTACCACCCCACGTCTACATGTAGAATGGGGGCACAGGACGACCCTACCGCCGTTGTTGATCCACAATTAAGGTATTTATATATTCCATAAAAGTAATGGTAAATACATATAAGCTAAGAATAATACTAACAGTAAGATTGTCCAACATTGTTTGGGCTGACATCATAAAAAAAAACAGAAGTTAAGCACATAATAAATTTGTGCAGGCTCTACACGCTTTACTTAAACATTTTATTTTATAGGGTCAAAAGAATTAAGAACCTTCGAGTAGTAGACGCCTCCGTAATGCGAAACGTGCCTTCCGGAAATACGAATGCTCCAACTGTGATGATTGCAGAAAAAGCAGCCGACATGATACTTGGAATTGACAGTGTAACTCATATAAGGAAAATCACAGATTCGTTATAGCACACCAATATTTTATCCATATTACTTAGAAAAGAATGTGTTATCCAGTGCTGATCCAGAGAACATATAAGTCACAGGAATATATATATTGGTTGACGTATTTGAAAATGATATAATGATAGTCAGAGGGAAATGATGTGGAAGGACTTCTTTGATACTGAACACAATATGTTGTGTAGTTCCTGGAGAGTAAACATGCTCATCTAGACTTTGTGATTCGAGTTAACTCTGAGTTTTCAAGAAATAAAAGGAGCATGCATTCGTTTTTTAACAACCTTGTTTCAAAGAAAATCTGGAAACGTTTCCTCAAAATGAGAAACATTTGTAGATAAAATCAATTGAAATTTGTTTCTTTTTTTAATTTCATACTTAACTAAATTTTTAGTGTATAAAACATTCATTTATTTGCTTGCTTCTGTTGATTTTTTATCATGATTTCTGTCTTAAAATTATCATCATATTTAGTCAAAGACTTGTCTTTTATTGAGAAACTACTTCCTTGAAGGAAAACAAAATCTCGAAACAGTCTCTCATAGCTACTAAATATCTTTGAAAAATTCTAAAACACAATCCTGTTTTCGTATTTAAAAATTCTCACGATTGAACTCTGCTTCTTATATTATGGTTTTTAGGATGTTATTACTTTGTGTGGATTTAATATACTGAAATTAATTTTAATTAGGCTACCAAAAATATTTCGAAATTAGATTAATAAATGGAAATATTTGTTAATGCTTGGATGCACATTAGCTATAACATTATTCTGTTATCACCTGAATATAGTTTTTACATCTCGCATTTTATTCGAAACTCAAATGCATATATCGAATATACGGCCAGTCTTAAACCATGGCTGACTGCTTACGGCCTTTGTTCGGATGAATTCGTTGTAAAGAACATTGAAATACAAAACGAAAGCAACAAAGGTTACTTGTAAGTAGGTCATAGGATAGTCATGCAAAGGGTGATATATGATAGAGCAATATCTTGCAGGTATGCATTGAAGCATTTAATATTTGTTTTCCTATTATGTTTGATCTACAAATGATTAATCCTTTGATTTCAATTTTTTCTCATACGCGATTTTAACATGGATCTGATACATTTAATTCATTTTGACAAAGTGTCAACGTCTTCTTTTCCATATCTGGATCATCGCCTGGCGTAGTCTTCAACAGACTCCATAATTTTTATGAAATTCCGACACCAGTTGAAGAATCTGGGTTCTTTATATTACTTATATTAAACGCGTCGATTCCTTTATACGCATAATGAAGTTTAAGGAAAAGACGAATTGTTTTAGCTGCAGTAAAACATGGGGGTTGAAAAAGCGTATGATTTGCAATATCTACATGTATAATCACAGACCCAAGGTTATATTCTGGTGACGAGGAAAAAGAAAAATGGGCCTTCCATCATTTTTTCAAGAAGACTATTTAAAAGTTTCAAAGGGGAAGGGTAAAGTTTGTGTGAATATTATGTAGACCTAACTGCTGACTGACATAAGTAGTAGTGAAATCAGAAGAGACATCGTGTATTAAAGGTATATTGTAAGACCGATGTCCTTGACTACGCTTACGTCTCCGTGTATGGTTAAAAGTCCCTTCACATTTACATTGCTACACTGTGGACTAGAAAGATTTCCAACACTATCGGCATTGTCATTACACCCACATAGGGAAAGGCTGTCCCTAATCTTCTAATCCAAAATTCTTCTCGGTGTCTACGGAAAGGCGTACTCAGTGACAGACTGTTTGTGTGGTGATAAATCTTTTCGTGAATTCTAACTTTCGTTGACAAAATAGAATAATCGGCTAAATTAAAATGTCTGTGTAAAAGTTGCTGACTCCCATGATTCCATGTAGACTTACTTTAAAGTAATTATTTTCTGTTAATACCTTTGGTCGTAAAATGACATTTGAATGTCAAATATAAATTTGGTGATTACGAAAAGTTTTCAAATTCATTAGTACACTCAAACAATACCAGGAGTTGAGTGGGAGCAGGTGCCATAGAAGAGTGTGCATCCTCTGCCTACTGGTCCAAACGGATGTGTGTTCCTTGTCATGATCAGGAAAAAGGAAAATTTCGTACACAATTCATTATTTAAATAGACACTACCTAACAATTAGTGCAATATCAGAAATCAACTTAGTTTTCAATAGCTTGCTTCGACTTAGAATAAAGATCGAACATAGAATATTCATCAACTGAGATAAGGACATGTGAACAACATGTGACAAAATTACAACTGCATATTTCTTCATAAATAAAGAGAGATGAAGAAAAGTTTAAATTATCACATTTCTCATAAGGTTTTGTTATTAGATTACCATAAACGCCTTTTTAAAGTGAAATTTAAAAAAATAAACAGATATGTCATACTCTGTATGTAGATGTAAAAAGTATATTGATTAAGATATTTTTATAAGATATTTGCTTGATGATCATCTATCTTTATAAACAAAGGTAGGAGTTGAAATTTTTGTTCTGTAATTCTGAATGAGGTAACAAAGGCAAAACGAAATTGTTCATTAAAATTTAATTTTCGCATTACGTCACCTACAGCTAGCAGATTCAATTTTAGATTTATTTTTCTTCTTTTGACAGAATATGAGTCAGACATTTTCAGTATTGATCATCATTTGTGGGATTTTTATATATATAATTTCAAAAATGCGGAACAAGGTACTTTTAGAAAACGAAGCACCACTTAATGAGACTTACGACTTCATTATAGGTCAGTATGAAGTGGTCACTATTAATCATTCTACTTATAGTTATATAAGTGTAATCGTCACAGTATTTCAGATAAGGCATGTTAACTAAGCTCACAAATCCGAGGTTTTAATGATTTCAATAGAATTTGTTAATATGATGATATGACACATGTATGACTACACAAGTCATCTTAATATGAATCAATAATTACATTAATGTTATGAAAATGACAGCAGGTTTTGCAAATGTTTGGTTGAATTACATGATTAATTTCTATAATGCGTTAATAAACATAAGAAATACTACAAATGATTAAATTGTGGGAAAGGAAAATATATTATGTCAAAAATAAGATTTTGAATAAGGATTATTGACAATAATTTTGATTAGAAATGTGTTTCTAATTTTCTCTGTATTTTTTATTTAAATTTGATGCAGTGGGAGCAGGCTCTGCGGGGTGTGTTCTTGCTAACAGACTATCGGCGGATCCAAGATTCTCAGTCCTTCTTATAGAAGCTGGCGGATCTGAGGAGAACAATGAAATGATTCGTATACCGTTTGCGGCCTTAGACCTGCAAAACACCGAGGTCGACTGGGCATTCAGAACCACCCCACAAACTAAAGCTTGTCTAGGAATGAAAGACAAGGTTTGGTCATCAGGTCAAACAAACACACCTAAATTGATGATATCATTTTATTTCGTTTCTCTTTGTGTTTTAAAATGACTAACCTAGCAAAAAAATAGAATGGTTTTTTTTGTTTTGAGATAATTATATGCTTAAATATATGATAAATATTATTGCACCAATTCGATTTAGTTATGAACAATTTATCTACAATAATTCTAATCATAATCAAACAAGGAAATACGTTTTTGTTTATATTAATGTAAAAATTAAAGTATAAAGTTGATTACAGTACGTAAGAACGTATCTATAAGTATTTACTATTGATAATAAATATGGCTTGTCTTCTTGATGGATGAGTTCATTCATGAAAAAAAAAACTTTCTCAGTTTTCATTCATTGGAAAACTATCTCAGGGTGATCTTAAAAACAACCAATACTAGAAGCGTTAATTGATTGTTTTAAGAAAGTTGTTTTTTTATGAATAAGAAATTAAGAACAAATAATTGTTCAATGGATGCAAATATTTGTAAACACGCCCAACTAGTTAATAGAAGCAAACACATTTACATGTACAGTATACCTTGTTTTAAAATGTAAAAGGATAAATGAATTTTGTTAGTCCCATCTCACTTGTAAAATACATGAAACTCTTTGCCTTAATTTTAGAGGTGTGCTTGGCCGAGAGGACGTGTCCTTGGTGGATCAAGTTCCATTAATGGCATGATGATTGTTCGCGGGAGTCACCATGACTACGATGGCTGGGCTAAAGATGGATGCCTAGGATGGAGTTATAAAGACGTTCTTCCGTATTTTATTAAATCTGAGGATATTCAAATACAGGATAAACAAAAATCAGGTAAAAAGATTCATTTTCACCATGTTTGAAACCTTGACAATCACACCCTGACATACACATCAAAAAATTTCTGATTTTGTTTTAGCTGAAATCAAATCTGAAAAATAATTGCACGCAATTTCAACCACAGGTGCTTGAGGACAGGACCCCCCCCCCCCCCCCCCCCCCCCCCGCAATATAGACCCCCGGGCCTGTTAGACTTTTTTCACATAAATTATATATGAATGACACATTTGTGATATAATATATCCTATCCATTTAGAAAATTTGCTTAAATAAACATTTTATAAAAATTTCAACCCCACTCTCTATATATAAATTAACAAGGTTGCCAACTTCGTCTGCAAACCGAGAGGCACTGCCGAGAATTTTGGTTGAATCGTCTCATAAATCTAAACAAAGCCCTAAAATCAACAACTCATATTGTAAATTGAATATTATTTTCATTAACCACCAACTCTCATGAAGGTTAAGGCACTTTAACAGTCGTTATGGTCAGTTTTTCAAAAGGATGTCAGGCTACAGCCAGCGTTTCTGCTTAATGAACGGAAGTGACGAGGAGACGACTTTTTACCGAAATACACAGTTCTGCAGAAAGTCTGAAACACTGTTTTGAAATAAACATTTGAAGAAATTTGGTTGGTTTACATTTTAAAAAATGTCTTTCAAATGTATTGGAAGAATAGAGTTCTAAACTGCTGATGTAAATGAAATATTTCTAATTATTTTTAAATACCTGATTGGCATGTATCGGTTTTGAGAGTTATGCCTTTTTAAAATATATTTTATTAAAATACCTTCTTTTCCGTAAATATTTCGTGTAAAATCTACAAAACATTTGAAAATAATATCTTTATGAAGAATTCGTTCAAAAAACAAGAATATATCTAATGTTGATATCTTACACACATGTTTGGTTATATAGGGAATATGGGAAATTAGTCCTCTCCTCATCACTTCCGTTCGATAAGCTTTTTACGGAGTTGGAAGATTATTTATGAGAAAAAAATCGAAAAAGCCCAGGGGTCTATTTCGAAGGGGGGGGGTCCTGTCCTCAAGCACCTGTGATTTCAACTTTCTAATTATCTAGCCTACCATGGAACAGGAGGTCCCCTTCCTGTGAGTGATGGCACGGTCACGCCTCTAAGTGATGTGTATAGACAAGCAATGGAGGAGTTAGGATATTCTGTGACTGACTGTAATGGAAAAACGCAAACAGGTTTGATTGAACAAAAATATTTTCACAATGGTGTTTTTG